TCATCGTAGCAGTGTAGCGGTAGCACGTCAATTGACTGGTACTTTACAGCCAATCGAATTTGAGGGAGTAGCGCGCTATTACCTCCACTGCCACTACCGTTCTGACCGGTATTCATTCGAGATTCACTGCCTCCGAGATTATGCTTGGAGAGCCTGCGTATTCGACCAGTTAGAACGTTGGTTGGTGGCGGTCCAACCAATGAAATTGAGCGCTTAGCGGAAGGACAGCCCGCATTGGTCTCCGGATTGCACTGTAATGATTCAGGCGTATTGAAGGAGCCTATTGATTGGCGGATTGAGGAGCGAGGAGACATGGGATTGGTGTGCAAATTCTCCGACGACGGGAGCATACAACCAGGGGTCATTGTGTGCCATTGTTGCGTCTCGTATTTGGATGATAGATCAGATATGGCAATGGTAAGAAAGGCTAAAAAAAGAAGTAAATACTTTTTTTACGTACTCCCTTTAATATTTATGGCACCAATTTTAAAAGGGGTTGAATGAAAAACAACATGCCTCGTTAACAGCACGTCTAGCCTTGTTAGATGGGTAATGCGTGACAGAATGTCACCATCTACTTCCCTACCCGCAACAAAAGTACTCATTTTTGTGAGTTTGCATGATTGCTGCAAAACATCACTTATGATTTTTGATCTTAGGCTGTGGTGTTTGCCTATTTCTCCTGTTCTTTTTTCGACAAGTACTTCCATAAAAAACCACTGGTACACAGTTTATACACATCGTAGTCTATCATCCAGGGTCATGCGAACCAGATTTCCAACTGAATCACCTAAAAGTGTGCCACATCACGGTGTGCATGCATCCCTGTTCAAACAAAATACCGAAAAAAAAAACGATTTGATCCCCTGATATGGGCGTGGCTTATTTATAACGACTCGAGAAACTTTGCATCCTCTCAACTCACACCAAACCTACGTGTCAAAATCTCTCCCAAAAGCACAGTAAAGTCGGAAGTCTGTGAAAGGCAGTCACTTACATCCGTTTCTTGTCTAACAGAGATGGAAGAACTAGTCCCATTTCATATCATAAAACCCTTCATGTTTGGCAGCAGAAATCTTGTGCTATCTTTTTTTTTCTTCTTCAATCGAAGCAAAAAGGGGGAGGTAGAGAGGGAATTTGGATTTCATATCGCGCAAATGAATTCACTCGTTAACCTTTTTTAAGGCTTTGAATCATTGCAGGGGAATGCATATTGCCTCTCTCGACCATAAAGCATGCCTCAAAAGAATGCTTTCATTTGCATAAGGCCAAATTTAATTATAACACTTAAATTTAATGTTTAGGTTGGGAATTTGAATTTTAACGTTGCAAGTCCAAAGTAACACCACTTGTAGATCGGTAGACAGGAAATGTAAATGAATTTCTTTTGGTCTAAAATTAGTGTCTTTAGATAGCCAAGAGTTGTATTTATAATGCGTGAAGGTTGTTTAAATCGGCCTATCGAGTAAGTGGCGGGAGTTCAGTTTGAGTCCTGCGTTTGAAAAAGCGATCAAACGACTTCCTCGGAGCGCTTCAGACACCTCCTTTTCCCCCTTTCTGTCCATCGTGTTGACACCTCCAACGAAAACCACTGGAAACCACTCAGACAGTAAGGCGGGAGGGAGGGAGGGAGGGAGAGGTTGGGCCAACCTCATGAACAGAATGCAGCCAACAGTCCATTGTGATGCAAGTGAGTTGTTTAAGAGTGTCTTGTAGGTGAGGGGGAGGATACACTTCGAGCACCCTGTCGGACCGCTTTAGACATCTCATGGGACTCCCCTCTCCATCCACCTATCAACACCTGCCCAGGAAGTCATTGGGAGGCACTTTCAAAAAGGCGAGACATCACTTACCAATGGGTTGATTTTGGGATTTGCTGGATTTGCGACGCTTAGACGTATCCTTTGTCACATAATAGCCACAGAATTCGTGGCATCAACACACTCACTGTGTCAGGAAGAGAAAATCCTTCTCCTCGTCTTCTACTGTAACGTCATGAGTTCTTTACATGTGCCCTGTAGGTGAGAGGCGGAAGCTCAATTTCAACACTGCGCTTGAGGGGAGATCGGACGTCTTCGGGCATTTCCCAGTCCCCTTTCTGTTCCTCTACCCACACGTGTAGGGTGTATAATGTCGAATGAATCCCTTCTAAGTAGACTACTTCCAGAGAAAGCCATTGGAAGGCACTCAGACGATGTGGAATGATGATAAAAAACATTATAAAAAGAAAAAGAAGCAACTGCTTGTTGACAGGCATTGAATACTTCACAAAGGAAGCACGACTCAGGTCTAACACACAATCCAAGTAGTCTCAACTTTCCACTCTACTTACCGTTGTCACGACATGCCACCTTCAACACATAATATTCCATCGTCAAAAGTGAAATTTCCCTTTACTCACACTTAAACTTTCTTTTTATTTTTTTTTGGATAAATGAATACACGCATTTCTAAGTGTTGAACCACAAAAAAAAAACAAAGTTGGGTGGTCTAGCCCTCGCCCTTCCAACATGGAATGCGAAAGTTGCCGCTGCCACATTTACAGACCTGTCGTCGACTCGTGTGACTCATCAAAGTGTCGCAAACTACGAGGTCATGCCAAGGTTGGGCTCGAGTGTGACTTTATAAATGCGTTTCCTCAAATGAGGCGTCCATTGGCAGAGCGCGATGATGGCCTGAGGCATCGAGGCCTTCCAGCTCCACGCATGCTGATTGTCAAAAAAAGACTCGAAAAAAAACTGTTTCAAGTCAAGCAAATATCCTCCCTTGAGTGTTTCATTATTTGGACGACATTTTAGACTAGTAGGTGATGAAATAAATTTGATCTTTTGTGTAATTTGACGTAAGACTTTGGGTGCAAGTTGTAGGAGCCTGTGGAATGCGTTAATTTGTTTATATGCATGCAATATTAAGGCTGAATGTGCGTCAAGTGTCTTTGTTCGTGGCATTGGATTATGCTGGATGCAATAAGGTGAACATGCTGTGCACCAAAAGCGTCGACACAGTTGGAGAGCCTTAGAGGTGGTGAAGTAGGTGTGTGTTGGGAGATGGTGGCATTGTTCCCCACTCCCCCAATCCTCGAGGTCCAGTCGACAGAGCGGCTTGTAGGTGCATTCAGCATGAGTGAGAGGGTGAGGAAGGCGAGCGTTTACTTTGATGCTCCACCAGTAGGAATGAGAGTAAACGCTTGAAGTACATCCAAACGAAGACAACGCACAAGTGGACGATACACTTTTCTCAATGGCATTGAAATGCACATGAGTTGTTTAAATGTGTGTGATGGGAGTTCATTTTCAATGGCGTGCTTGAAGAGCCTTCGGACTAGGGGTTAGCACCCTGTCCCAACACTTGTGATTTGGATAGCGTCTAATGAGGCCCTCCTGAGTGAAGCCACTGGACGCGACTCAGACGATGGATTCAAGTGAGAGTCGATTGTACTGCAAATGAGTTGTTTAAGTGTGTCTGGTGGGTGCGAGGCGGGAGTTCAATTCTAGTGGCATGATTGAGGAGTGATGAGGCGAACTCCTCAAGTCGCTTCTCTGTTTTATGGGTTGAGGTTGTTGGGTGGAAGACTTGCTCATTTGCCAAACAATTGTGATTAGGGCAGATTAATGGGAACCTTGGGAGGACGAGAGACTTGCACTCCGTGTCTCCATACTGTGGCAAAGGTTTCCCAGTGAGAAGAAGAGAACTGTAGAGGGGAAGGTGAGAGCATCGTTGGTACTCCCCTCCATCCCTCCCCAAGTTAAAATGTTCATTCTTTTATGAAACTAATACTGACAGTCAAATTGTAATGCTTTGTTTATGTACCCTCCTGTATGACTGGCGGTCAATGCGTTATTCACTTCCTTCGTGGGCGCCGCGTGGGCTGGA